CGACGGATCACATGTTTTGCTGTCCACATGTTCGACGAAATGCCGCAAAGGCCGATAAAAACATGTTTTTTTGTGTTGTTATCAAGAAGCAATTGAAGGTTGTCTGTGAAGTGAATGCGAATTGTTGAGGCTGGATTTTTTTGTTTGGGTTTGGAAAGAAGAATGGCAACTGGGATATATGGTGAGGAATCACAGAATGGGGCTTGCAGAGAGGGAATCATTTCCATTGTAGATGAAAATCCCCAGGAAAAGAATGATAGTTCATGCCAGGGAAATCCCGGGAAACCTCCGAGGAATCTCATGGTGATCCGACGTAGTATCAGTCAGGCAACGTTGGCAGGTATCTTTGAATTGGTGAGTGGTTCCTCAATCTGATTTTCATCACTTCATAGCATGTTTTAAGTTACAATGGTTATGCAATGGATCTTTCTAAAGCTGCATTTCATCTTATGCAACTTTCTACAGTTTTGATTGTATAAGCTCTTGGTGATGATTTTTCATTTGTTTGGCATGTCAAATTGGTGATTGTAACTTGTTCATTTGGTAATCCAATATTTAGGAGGCAACCAATCAAATTACAGGCCTGAAATCTCCACCACAAGTTGAGAGTGCTGGAATTGTCCCTGTATTTCGCTCTGGGAGCTGTGCCGAAATGGGACCGAAATCTTACATGGAAGATAAGCACATTTGCGTCGAAAATCTGCACAAACATTTCGATAATAATCCCCAGAAGTTTCCTTCTCCAAGCGCTTTTTTTGGGGTATGTAGCTTCAATGGCTTTCAAGAACTGGGAAAAAAATGCATAGTATTCATGTCTTCTATGTTAGTTATCACTAATTGCATTGGCTTAAATACATAGAATTAAATGCTTGATTTGATTTTTTTCTTGAAGTATTCAGTCGAACCACATATGTTTCAGGTGTTTGATGGGCACGGCGGTGTTGATGCCGCGTCATTTGCTCAAAAGAATCTCCTTAACTTCATTGTTGAGGATTCCCATTTCCCTTCTTCATCCAAAAGAGCTATTAGGAGTGCTTTTGCCAGAGCTGATCATGCACTGGCTGATGCTAAATCACTTGATAGCTCCTCCGGCTCAACTGCTCTCGCTGCACTCATGTTAGGACGGTAAGAGAGATATTAATGTCGGTAGTTTTCACGGGTACTCATAATAAAGTCGTGCTACAATAACACCAAGGTTGACACCACTAGTGTCTCCAAAGACATTCGTCTCATGATGATTGTCTGACTTTCTTAATGTTGGTAGTTTTCATGGGTACTGACAAATGAGTCGTGCTACAATGACACCAAGATTGACACCGCTAGTGTCTCCACAGACAATCAGTGTACATTGTCAAGGAACCCATTCAACCAAAAGCTCAAGCTTGTGGTTGTGGCCTAGGAAATGTTTCTTATATTATAACACGCCCCCTCACGTGCAGGCGTAGTCTATTTTCGATCCTTGCACGTGAAACCTTAATTTTTTTTTTAACTGGGTGGCGCTGAGTTTCGAACATGTGACCTCTTAGTCAACAAGGCTCTGATACCATGTCAAGGAACTCATTCAACCAAAAGCTCAAGCTTGTGGTTGTGGCCCAGGAAATGTTTCTTATATTCTAACATACATGACTGTCAGTGCGTGATTGTTGTCTGACTATCTTTAGTTTTTACAATTTTTTCCTCAGGACGACGATAATTGCCAATGTTGGGGACTCTCGAGCAGTACTGGGGAAAAGAGGGAGAGCGATCGAGCTATCAAAAGACCACAAACCGAATTGCACGTCCGAAAGGCTGAGGATAGAGAAACTAGGAGGCGTGGTGTACGACGGGTACCTGAACGGGCAGCTATCGGTCGCGCGAGCCCTCGGCGACTGGCATCTGAAGGGGCCCAAAGGGTTGAAGGGCCCACTCAGCGCGGAGCCAGAATTAGAGGAGGTGATTTTGACAGAGGAGGACGAGTTCTTGATAATGGGGTGCGACGGGCTGTGGGACGTGATGAGCAGCCAGTGCGCGGTGACGATGGTGAGGAAGGAGCTGAGGGCTCACAACGACCCCGAGAAGTGCGCGCGGGAGCTGGTCAGGGAGGCGCTGAAGCGCAACACGTGCGACAATTTGACTGTTGTTGTTGTCTGCTTCTCCCCTGACCCCCCTCCCCAGATAGAGATCCCAAGATTCTCAAGGAGGAGGAGCATTTCAGCTGAAGGGCTGGACCTTTTGAAAGGTGTGTTGAGTAACATATAAAAAAGGGGGGGTTAAGGTTAATAATTTGTAGAGTTTTTGGAAAGAAATTCACTTGTTACATTTCACAACTTGTTGGTGTGGTGTGGTAATCAATGTCGTTAATAATGCAGAAACTGGTGAATCTTTTGTGTTCATGGATAGGTTTGACACATTTGTGTTTATACAGAAATTGGTCATTTATTGTTAGCTGAAATCTAGATGTTGGAGTATAAAATTTTGTGATTGGAGACTGGAATTTGGACATTGAAATTTGGAGTTCACATTTGAGATGGACCTCAACTCACAACCTAATAGATTCTTAACCAATAGTGTGGGTTTAGGTGCACTGAAACTAAATAAAAAAAAAATTTATATAGATTTTAAATATGTACTTATGAATTATACTCCCTTGTCTCTAAAAAAAATCTTCTTGTTTTACTTTTTGTCCATCCCCTAAAATATTTTCATCATATCCAAAATGTTTAAATTATCTGTAAAACAACATCTACCCGTAAAAAAGGAAAAATATGGTGAATATTAGACATCATAAATATGTATAGAAGTGTATTCAAGGATGCGCAAAAAATGAAACTAAAAGTTTTTTTTAGAGACGGAGGGATATATTTATAGTTTTGCGTTAATATCTAGATAAGTTAAATTTAAAATAATTTAATTCAAACATTATACACTAAAACAAAACAAAAGTAGCACATAAAATTATTTTTTTAATGATTAATATATTTGGAGTGTGATAATTTGAACAAAAAAGTTAAAACTTTAAACATTTTTTTGAGACGATACGACTATTTCAACTAATTTCAGATGGATAAAGCCTCAAACTTGGGGCATAAAGCAAATGATAAAGCTATTTGTAACTCATGTTTTGTACCCGTAGCTTTGCACCAATACTTTGTGTTGGTGTAAAACTAATTTTTGTTAATGCACCAACACTTTGTGTCCGTGTAAATTTCTGTAAACGCACCAACTCTTGTGTCCGTGTAAACCATCAAAATGTTTGTGTATAACTGCGGTATACAAATTGGATATAATTTATGGTGTAAGTGTAGCATAACCCTAAAGTAAAAGAATACTCAACTTATTATAAGCACTTTTTAATAGTCTTCATTTTCAAGAAATAAGCTCTCTTTATTGATTTAGCAAAATACTACGTTACAAAAAGAATCAATATTTAAAGTATGAAAGGACAACAAATACTTACAATGTGTATGAGTGTATCTTGTCAAATATTTGAATTTCAAAATTCAAATTTAAAAGAAGAAATTTTAGGGTTATGTTCTTTGACATTTTCTCTTCTTTCACTCTAAGAAAAGATGAGAACTAACCTCGATGGTCCCTCAGATTCAGCCGAATGGTAACTGAGAGAAGCAGATTGGTGGCAAAAAGTCGAGCCTGGACTTGATACTTGCAGAGACCATATGCTTATAGTTGTCTCCTAATACAATTGGCAAGAATCCTACTCGAGTCTTACCCATTTAATACTTCTTGCCTTTGCCAACTGCACAACGACCACTAGCTCTTTAGTTTTCTTTCACTCTAGCTTCTATTGGTGGAAATAGTGAAACTCACTATAGAGAGTTTCTCAGTGTAATTTTTCCAATTAAATTAGACACATTTTAGTATCAAATATTTCATTCATCCCACATAGATCCTTTCGTAACGCGTTATAAACTTGATCGACTTTATTTTCAGTAAAAATTATTTGATTGTAGGTGTAAACTTAAAAAATAAAATTTATATACAAAAAATAAGCAAACAAAGTTTGTTAAGTTTGACTTTGTAAATATTTTCTGAGAAAATCGATGTAGAACGAAGAAGTAACAAAAAAATTCCTTTCGTCTTAATAATATTATCTCTATCCGAACGATGTGTAACATTAAATATTTTTAAATTTTTTTTTATTTACAAATTGGTATAGAAATAAAAATACAAATTAAAAATTTCAAAATTACATAAAAAAATTTAAAATTAAGATGTAGCAATCCACCTACCAACTAATGAAAAGTGTTAGAAAATTTATATTTTACATGTAGACAATAAAACCACCAAAGAGCAATTCTTTAAAATAGAGTGGTGATTCCATGAACCCAAAATCCACATCTAATTTCTATACCTTCTCACATAAGTTATTGAACTTAGAAGCTAATGTGGAAAAAGCTCGTTTCCCTCAAGTAAATCACAATTATAATCCTAATCTTAATTCTAATTGTAATAATAACACTTATACTAATACTAAGAAATCGACATCAACAAGGTTTATATAATGTGAATGAACCTGAAAAGGAATTGCCTTTATTTTTTTATTTTTTCCCCAATGAAAATGTTATTCTTTCTCTTTCAAGTAGATAGGGAGAATATAGGTGTGGAATTCTGGAAAATTTCCTCAATTTTCAACACAATTTTCACCACCAAGAGACCCATTCATTCATTCGATTTTAAGCCCTTAAGGAATCTAGGAAAACTCTCAAAAATTTCTCACCTTCCAATTCCTTCACGCCTGATTTCCACTCCACCAAACACACCCTTTACAAACATGCCCTCATAATGGGATACAACTCTTTTGCATGACACTATGCCAACATAAAAATTAAAGTGTGTTTGGCTGCCATTAATGCCCCTGCCCAAAGAAGCACCAGATTCCAAAGTCAAGAGATATTGAATGGGCAGAATTGGGAGTTTGGTGAGGGAATTAAAAACAAAGTCACAGAAGAAACAATGCACACATTCAATGCCCTTCTTCAATGACTTTAAACAAAGTGTGCTTCAAAAGTAACCATTTTTTCTTATTAACCATTTAACACTTCAGTACAAGGAATGGCTCTGCCTGTCTGCTTTAAACCCACTTTATTTAATACTCCACCAAAAAAACAAGAAAACAAAGAAAATCACATCTTAATTAATCCACTTATCAATAATAACTCCTAACTATATTCCTCATTCTGCTGTCCTTTGCCAAAAAATGCAAAGAAACCAAACCCTTTCAGAATATGTTTCTGAAACCTTAATAAAACCCCAAAAGAATATCATAAAAAATCTCATCTTTTCCTTCTCTTAACCCTTAAAACCCCAAGATTTGTTATTGCATCTACTATTTATTTAGGTACTTGATCAACTAATTATTCTCCTAAAAAACCACTTCTTGTTAAAAAAACTCAGCAGTGTCAATAGGTCCATTCCTGGGGAAGCATTACTTCAGGGCGAAAGTCTTTCTTGTTTTGCGCGAGCAGTGCGGCATTCCTTCTTGCAAGCATCACATCTGTATATAAAATGATTTTCGCCATGAGTTTCTTAAGCGCGGCATTACAAATTTACAACAACAACAAGAACAAACCCAATAGAATACCTAAAGAGGAGAAGGAAACGTACCATAATCCGAAACAAAGTTGGTCTTTAGACGAGGTTGAGTAGCGCCATTGATGTCGCGAAAGTTGTTGGGTGTAGAAGGAACAACCCTAGCATTTGGGCAGAAACCTGTTTACATCAAGAATCAGCACAAGAAGTCCAATTATACCAAATCTTACTTATGCCAAATGTTAAAACATATTACGGAGTATTAATTAAGGAATCACTTTCACATTCTTCCAATGTGTTTGAGATTTCATCTATGGAAATCTCAAACGCATAATTTTTGTTCTATGATTTTGATATTGGATAAAAGAGACATTTATTTTGGAATGGGAGCATTTGTCACATTTCAAATATCAAAGTCAAACATGGGTGAGTACTATTTAGTTGGTAAATTAAGTCATTTATGTCCAAACTAAACTAATGGAGTACAAATAAAGATTCAGTCTATGCTAGAATAGTGAACTCTTTGAACAAACTTTAGTTAGAAAAGATTTAAAAAGAAAATGTTGGAAATTACGGTAATAGTTAAAAATCAAAGAACAAAATCAAATTTATTCTCATCATTCACCTAAACTAAACATAAAATCCTCTCCTCTACAAACACACCCTAAGAGGAAAGCAAATTCTTTTCCTTTTTTCTTTCCTAAAACCACTCCAAAGGGAACCAAAGTGGAGTAGTATTCATTAAGGCATTTAAAGCCTATATGACAAAAGAAGTCACCTTTTTTTAACATCTATTTTGCAGCACTCCGTACAATTGGTTTAAAAAAATGTTTCAAAGAAATAAAACCAATAAATAATGTTAAAGACTGTGTTTGGCACTTTGGCTCTACTTTTTGGTAACAAAGAGTGATTAAAATAGCCTAACCCATTGAGTTAAACACACAAACATCTAAACAGAATAGAGTCAAAAGGGAAGTTCTTTGCTTTATCCAGACCAGGTATTTTCAGAGCTTTATGAGCAACTGAGTGACTCGGCCTAACCCATTGAGTTCACATGACTCGGATAGAAAATCAGCTAAACAGGAAAAGGTAAACCAGCAAGAAAGAGAAATGCTTTACCTGCTTTGTTGCGGCCGGAATTCATAGGATACCGATGGGTACTAGTGTCATTTCCATATGGCCTCGGCAAGAAAACGCCGGTCCCAGAACGCTCTCTCTTCACTCCGCCGACGCAAGGGCCGCCGGCGCCGCCGTATGGCATAGTACCTGCCCTGCCCTGCAAGGAGGCGGCGTTGCTAGAAACAAACGGCCCAACTCCTCTAGCTTTGTGAGGCTGCAAAAAATTGGATTTTTAATCTTTGAAAACGATGGCATGAAAATGAAAATAAACAAATGTGAAATAGGTTACCGGCGGCGAGAACAGGGGAAAAGTCCGATGGCCCGGAAGACGGTGATCGAACAGAGATTCCTCTCCGGCCCTCATTTGCAGCGCCGCAACTCGACCGGCGGCCTGGAGTATCAGATCCCACGAATCTTTCTTAAATCCGAGCGGCGTAGTGGGAGAGGATATCTGCGAGGGCCCGTTCGGTGTGCCGGTGCTCCGACCCGACCAGCTTCTTTCCCTTCTCGAAGTCTTCTCCGGCGACCCCGAGAGCAGCCATGCCTGTGAAATCAATGTTTTAAATACAAAAACGTTAAAACCAAGCAAATGCAATGAAACAGGGGAAGGAAGAAACAAGAAAGAGTACCTCAAAGTGATTTTTCCAGGAGGAGAAGGAGTTCAGAGTGTCCTCCGGCAGAGAAGACAGAGTAAGCCGGCGGGTCAAACTGGAAAGAAACTCGTCGTCGTCACTCTCGGCAGATCCGGCCGGGGAGGAGCAGAGGTCATACGGGAACTCGGCCGGGAAACAGATATCAGTGTCAGTCTTCCGGTATTTCTCCGGGAAAACGTCGCTGTCGGAGAAAAAATCCGACGGCAGCGAGAAATCCGGCAAGGATTCCTTAACAGCAGCCATATCTCGAGCGAAAGGGAAAGGAGGGGATTTGCAGGGGAGGAGAAGATACGGATGAAGGCTAATAAAGAGGGGGAGGAGGAGTGGGGAACGGGGTATATTTGCAGGGGGAGTGGGGCCAAGGTTGGGGGTGGTGGTGGGGACGGCGGAGGTTTGCCGGAGTGGGAGTAGTGGATGAGGGATTGAGGGATGACTGGATGTTCTGCTGAGGCGGACAGGTGGCCATTTTTTAAGGATATTTTGGACTTTCTTTTTGTCCTTTTCTCTTTCTCTTTTGAAACGGAAAATTTGGAAATTTAGGCAAATACTACCTCCGTCCCACTCTTTTTGTCGAGTTTTGACTTTTGGAATTATTCATCTAAGCACTTTGACTCATCAAATCCTCTCAATGTGTAAGTCTAAAAATATTCATGTGTGATCCTCTTTGATTTGTCTTAACATATAGATTATTAATATATAATTTTTATAATTTTGTAATATATAAATTACAAGATAAAATAGATTAAAGAAGTGCATTGGATGGTGTGCACAAATGAAAGTGGACAAAAAGAGTGGGACGGAGGGAGTAAATTTTAACATACCGAGTATCACTTTTTTGTCACACTTCTAATAGTGAGGTAAAACATTAATTTTTTTCAATTTATTTTATTTACATGTTACTATAGAAATAAAAAATAAAATTTATTTATCAAAAAATAACATGAAAAGTTCTTCGAAATAAAAAGTGTAAACAATTTATCAAATAACTAATGAAAACATAAAAATAAATAAAAATTCTCGTGACTGTTGAAAAAGCAAATGTGACAAATGTTTTGGAACGGAGAGAGTATCTCTTTTAGCCTTTGGCAATGGAAAGTTTTAAAATACTCCGTATCATGTCTTTGAGAGAAATGACTTATTATACAATTCAAGTAGAATAAGAAATTATTAAAAACAGTTTAAATAGTCATTCAAATAATGAGTCATTATCCAATACTTGTTGCTAATGACAAGATTCGTAGAATTATTCGTACAATCAATTATTATCCAACATTCGTTGCTAATGAGGACATATATGACAGATCATATGAAATAATGTGACTAAAAAGAATAAAACATGGTCTTATTCTGCGAAACGTACTACATTTTATTCCAATATAAAGCAATTTTTTCAAAAAAATAAGATGCCCTCAAAGCAAAATGAAAATAAATACTCCATCGGTCCCATATTAGATGTCATATTTCAAACAATGTTCAAAATTCTATCTTTTATAAAACCATTTCAATTACAAATTAATAAAGAGATAAAAAATATAAATTAAACCATTTAAAAGTACATAAACATATCTATAAAATAAGATATGAAAAAATATTTTATTTGATCAAATTATTAATAAAAATATACAAACAAAAAAAATTTATTGAGAGACTATAATGGTGACATTGATATCATTTTGAAATAAGGGGAGTAAATAATTGTGTCCAAGTTAGACCATCTCTTATGGAGGGACTTGGGATTCATGGTGTGTAAATGAGTTGTATGACGTAGAGTAATAAAATCTACATAGTATGATGAATGTGAAGGAAAATGATGAGGTGACATTGTGTGTTAAATTTTGATTGATTGAAATAATAATAATAATAATGGGAAGGGAGAGGCTATCACAGAGTGACAGTTGTCACTTTCGAATCGGGAGAGCGCCCTCCACCATAGATATGCAATGCACGACCCCCCCCCCCCCTCGTACTCTAAGGGTAAGGGTGGTCAAGTCCCTCATCACGCTCCATAACACATGGCATAATTCGAACATCTCGAGTTCTCGTGATCTCATTACTTTTAAATATGCATATAGATAATTAAAAATTCACCCTAAATATGAGTAACATATAGAGAAATGCAAAACTAAAAGTTTATATTTGCATTCTCAAAGTAGAAATTTGCATTATGATAATAAAAAAGGTCAAATTGTATTAATAAAAAAGTTCAAAAAGATAAAGATCTTTATTTTTAAAATATCAATTATAGAATTTGTTCTATCAATAGGGTGTAAGATGAATAAGGAATATCTTAAAAATTGAGTAATGCTCCTTCCGTGCCAAAAACAACAAAATCTAGGTTGATTCCACGAGAATAAGGTTAGGAGAAAGTGTGTATGCAAACATTGCTCTACCCAAAAGTACAAAGTTTGTTTCCAAAAGACCATCGACTCGAACAACAAAATAGAGATGAGAATACAGAATAAACTAATTAAAGTGAAAAACACGTCATCAAGGAGCATTAAAGCCTACAAGCAAACAAAGCACACAAGTGGAGAAACGACCACAAAAATCCAAAGTGCCTACTCGACTACCTTAATCTTAACTCTCCTAACGCTTTTATTTAAGTCTTAGATCCTGACTAATCACTTCCTTCTAACTAGTCCAGGTCTACTTCTTCCCTTACTCCCACCCACCAATGTCCTGTACTAAAAAAATTCACAAATTTTTTTTAACATACTTTATAAATATGTAAAATTTATTTTTATTTTATAACAATTTTTAAATAAAATGATTTTGAAAAATTTTAAATTATGGTTTGTTGTTGGTAATGTGACAAATATTTTGAAGGCAAATTCTATAGTGGATCTAATATCTACCATGGATATACATAATTACATATATTTTGAAGGCAAATTCTATGGTGAATCTAATATCTACCATGGACATACATAATTACATACTCTCTTCGTCCCTAAATAAATTACAATTTTTTTTCTCTTTCCTCTCGATAACTTTTGTTTGTTTACACGATTTCATTAAGTATTTGATAAAATAAAATATTCTTGTCACCTCTTCTTTGTAGATTTTTTGACGTAGTTTTTTAATATGTAATTTTTATAGCTTATTGATATACCAATTTGTAAATAAAATGATTTTAAAAAGTAGAAAATTTTACTCCGTAACCTGCAATTTGTAATTAAATTGGGGACGGAGGGAGTATAATGCAAATAAGCAAATCCTAACTATTTTAATAAGCATTTATTTTAAATAAAAATTAAAGAAATAAAAAAAGATTTTTCATATGAAAAGAAGCACAAAAACTGATAGTGCACTAAAGAAGGACTCCATTTTGAGATGAAGAAAATCTCAAAACAGTTTCCCGCCGAAAGGAGTTGGAGGAACAGTCAACAGCGCAAATCAAATCATGTCAGAGAAACATCGCCATTCTTTGTAAACCTTCGCCGAACTCAACGGTCAGATCTTAGCTTGGTGTTGTTGGCAGCTGTCTCCCACCTTACCCCCCAAACAGCTCACCCACGCCCCATACAATCTACAAACACAATAGTCTCCTTCCGACCCCACATGTTCAATTGCTCTCTATTCACTTTTTATCATTATTTTCTTCGTTTCAATTTAAATTATCCGTTTGAATTTATAATAGAAATATTTAACAAAATTATTTTTCATTTCTTTTATACGTAAATTCGTGTGAGATTTAAAATACAATTTATAGATTAAAAAATTCTATCTAAAACTCTACAAAAGAAGAGATATGATATGACTATATAAATTTATCTCATCTGAATTGAATAATGACAGAAGTTAAAGTTTGATCATATCAAAAACTAAGTAAACATATAATTTAATATGGACAAAGAAAATTATGAGTACGAGCTAGAACTAAAAACACACAATTCACATTGAAGCTCACCTCGCACAAAGAATGTGAAGAGAAAAATAGTGTTGTGACCATCTTTTAGAGAAAAATTTCTCTGGCTAGGAGTAAAAAATATAAAAATACTAAAATAGGAGTCATATGCTTTTAACATCAAAATAGAATTTCACGCTTTTATTGTACTCTTTCTGTCCCCCTAAGATCTTTCCGTTTTAACTTTTTGCGATTTTTTAAGGAGAGTTGAAAAAAGATGTAAATTTATCATAATACCCTTAATGAAGGATGGGTGGAGTGTATTAAATGAGGTATGTGAGGTGTAATAAATAAAGTAAGTAGGAGTAGTTGTGGTATTTTTGTTGGGAAAAATATTATAGATTTTGATGATGATGTATTTAGAATGTAATAGGGACTTTAGGTCTCCTCCATTATTCAATGTAATTTTTCTTTTTAGAAATATTGTCAAAACCGAGCTCTTGAGATTTCCAATAAAGCTGTGATATTTTCTTAAGCGTTTTGATGCCTGAAGACTTAATCAAATTCAGTGATATGGAAATTGGATATCTTGTTCAGAAATGTCAGAGACAAGTAAGGATTTCTCAATCAGATGTAAATCCTCAGATCCAGAAGACTACATAAGAATCAGATGTCTCGCTACAACCCGCTGAAGGCTAAGTCATCCAAATCGGAAGACTAGCGCGGATCTCTTTCTCACCCGGAAGTCTGAAAATGACTCATCCGGATTTGTCAGCTAAGAATCGGAAGACTCACTGAAGACCGGAATTCTCAGAAAGCGGACAAGTGAGAAAAGACTTAGAAAAATTATCTAAGTCCTGAATGAAGAAATTCTACCCGTTGGTAAGGAAAAATCAATCTCTTGATTTTCAACGGCTAGATTGAAGATAATTATGCTGATTCAAGAACAAATGACTCGAAGACAAAGTCTGGCCCTCTAAATTGAAGAGCCTGTCCAGAATTCCTAAACAAGCACAAGAAGACAAACAAAGTGCTACAGTTCAGAATTCTTGAACAACAGCTAGAAGACGGATTCTGAGAAAAATGGAATCACTTCTCAAACAATTGGATATGTCCAAACACCCACTTCAACGAAGAATCTTCAAATCACAATCTTCATTCAAAATTGAAGCCAGCAAATGCAACGGATAGTCTATTATGATTCAACGGATAGATTATCCAATCCAGCTATAAATAACATCCTTGGAAGACTGGAGAAGATGTGAATGATAAGATACGTTGATACAACAACACAATGAAGCAATCTAAAACAAAGCTATCTCATTCACAGTTAGCTCAAAAAGCTTGATAAAGAGAGATTTCTAAACTCCTTATTCAGAAGCAAACTCCTCCTCCTTCCAAAGAGCTATAGTGTAAACACTTGAAGGTTTCCTTGCCTCAAGTACCACACCACGTTGAAGGATACAACTTTTTGATCAAACTTCTTG